GTTTGTTTGTTTGTTTGTTTGTTTGTTTGTTTGTTTGTTTGTTTGTTTGTTTGTTTGTTTGTTTGTTTGTTTGTTTGTTTGTTTGTTTAATCCACTGGTTCAGGAGATGTTTTATAACAGACACGTCCACGGTCATGTTTAAGCTTCATATTTACTCTGAGGCAAAAGACAACTCACAAACTAGATTTGCTGTGYGTTGCTCTCTCTCAGCTCATCTCTGTGCTTTCTGTTTTATCTGTGAGACTTTCAGCCCAGCAAACCCTAAACAATGTGATGTCTGCTGTGGAGCTTCCTGCCTCACACTTCCCTCCGCACATCAAACAGGCTATAGGAGAAACGCTTTCCTTTTTCTCCCCCTAGATGTCCCTACAGACAAAGGGATGTGGCCTTTTAAGTCAGAAAGGCGAGGACCTGAGATTTATGATGGTCCCATCACCTTGTCTGTTGTAAAATTAAAATTATACATCAAGTCCATTGGCTTTATGATGCCATCACAGCATTTAATTGAAATAAAATGTCAGAGTGTGTGATGGCCTCAGCCATCATCTGATGGTAATCAGGCAGTAGATGATTCTAATTTAGATTCCCCATTAGCTGTTTATAAGACATTTATATGGTGTTACAGCTCAGTTTATTGATAGGTCATGGGTGGCATTGAACAGTCTGTGACATTTGCATTTAACAAAGTTATACCTTTGTTTGAGCAGCGATAAAACAGCACCATCAAGTGGCCACTGTGTGCGTTTATGTATGTTTCTGACAAAGAAAAAAGATTTTAAGAATCTTTTGCATGATATTCACTTTATTACCAAAAAGTGGTTTTGCTTGTTTGTTCTTACTTGTCTCTTGCTGTCATTTCTTGCCTGTGTTTTACAGAATCTCTTTCCTCTGAACCAAGATGAGGCTAAATCTGACAACGATCCAGCTGCAGAAGCCAGCCCCATCTCCCCGATGCAGCTCCCAAACTTTGAGAAAAACAAACAGAAGGCCACAACTACGTCCCAGGAGCAGGACATGGGGTCCCTTCAAACCACCAAAAAGCAACGCCAACTGCTGAAAACGAGTCCCGACGAAAGCAGGGAAAAGCTCCAGAGCATCATGGACTCACGGAAGCAGCTGATGAAAGAGATGTGCGCCAAATACAAAGGCAGCATCTCCAAGACGATCACACCAGAGCACGTCAAGCACATCTTTGTGGAGGACAAGAACAGGCTCTTGTACTGCTCCGTGCCCAAATCAGGCTGCTCCAACTGGAAGAGAACCCTGATGGTGTTGTCAGGCCAGGCGTCCAGTGTTGAGAGCATTCAGCACGAAACGGTCCACTATGGTGGGCACATCAAGAAGCTCAATRCGTTCAACCAAAAGGAAATAATGCACCGCCTGGAAACCTACAACAAATTCTTGTTTGTTCGCGAGCCCCTCGAGAGAGTGGTGTCAGCGTACAGGGACAAGTTTGAGAACCCCAACGACTACTACCACAACATGTTCGGGAAGCCCATCATATCAAAGTACAGAGTGACCCCCTCTGCAGAGGCCCTGAAGACGGGCAACGGGGTCACGTTCAAAGAATTTATCCGCTACCTGTTAGATGTGCACCGGCCTGTGGGGATGGACATCCACTGGGAGCAGGTGAACCAGCTGTGCCACCCTTGTGTCGTCCACTATGACATCATCGGCAAGTTTGAAAACATGGAGGAGGAGTCCAACTTTCTGCTGCGAATGATCGGGGCGCCACCGAGCCTCATACTGCCAAGTTTCAAAGACAGGAATCCGGGCGATGCACGGACCTCAAAGGAGATCACTGAGAAATACTTTTCTCAGGTAACCATGATGGAGAGACAGCGAGTGTACGACTTCTACTACATGGACTATCTGATGTTCAACTACTCCAAACCTTTCAGTGATTTATACTGATTAACTCTCGACGACTCAGTCAGTCCCATTCAACTTACATCTACATCTCCACCATGATATTAATCCTCACGTAAAGGAACTCACCCACATGCTCCCTCGATTCTTTGAATCTAAGCAGCAGCGCCAGCAAGTCCAAAATTTTAATTAATGGAAAACGATTTTTATTACTTTCTCTTTTTCCCACTAATATCTTCATTATTTAATATCCTGTTTGAAAAGATACGCCAAACTCTCTGAAAACACGAAGTTATCTTTTCCAATAAATGGTGGAGATGATGGGAAAATTTAATATAAATACACAGTTTAAAAAACTGTAAACTATGATTTGAATAACTGCTCAACAGGCTTTAATCTGATTTATTGTGTCAATTTCAATATTTTTTTTATTTTGAAAGTAAAAATAAGCTAAAAAATAAAGTTCTGAGTTTGTAAGAATCTGTTCCCTCAGTTTAGTTTTACTAACAGATGCCATCCTATTATGAGGAGTGATAAATCAATAATTTGGTTCACAGACATTGAAATGTTGGACAAACTTCATTAATTTCTAAACAAAAGCATCAAACTGCTGTAAAACTACAAATATCACTTCCGTTCAAACTAAACAGCGTGGCCTAAATTTAATCAAAATTGGCCAAAGCTCATGGAGAAATGTTTAGGTTAGGTTTAGTTTTAAGTATTTATATATGGTCTATGTGACAGAGAGAGGGAAAAACAAGAATAATCCTGTAGATGTTGCTGAATATTACAACTGGATTTTGCAATCTGTAAGCTATCCCCTAAAACTTTGTCTGACTTAATGCAAATTCATGTAACCAGATTATACAACTGGTGGGAACAGATTCTTTGGTGCTCTATAAGACTCTCTCTATCAGAACCCTTTCACTTAATTTCAAATCAGTACGGTAGCCTTAGTTTGACTTTAGTTTGATCGAATCAGCTCTTCAGAGCTTGAAATGTTGCAGAAGGTCAGTCATCAGTATACCTCGAAGTRTCAGTGCATACTAATGCAGATCATTTTTGTAAATGGCTTTACTAAATAGTATCTACAATGAAGGAATTCAGCTCTTTTGAGAGTATAATTTTAAGAAATATGTGAAGTGTTGCCCACTCAAAAGCTGTGTGCACTTATTGTAGCATTTTTTATACTTCTAACAAAAACATAAAACCACATGTGGTCGAACACATATTGTGTGCTGTGGCTCCTCCATCACTGGAGGGATTTTCTTGTGTTGTTTGTGCAAATGCAAGACATCCAAATACTTGTAAGGTACCAAGTGTTGCTGCCAGTGTCTCTACAGTATGTGTTGGCGGTGCTGATTGGACCTTCATTCAGTTTTTTTTTTTTTAGAAAGACAAACGGAAAGCACABCAACAGGCTAACAAACAGTCACAGATGTTTAGGCTTGGTTTCAGTTAGAGATGCACTTTTCAGTCAGCAGRTGACTAATCAGCTGATTATCAGCTTGACTGGTGATCTGAAACTAAAAACTCTGATGTCCAYGTGGTCAGGGAATGCACCATAAATTTGCTTTAAGAAGAGCTCATCTTCAGCTTATATATGTTTTAGTTAAGAAGACTCAGTCAGCTGTTTTTGATTTCCTTAAGGTGAMTGAAAGTAAAATATGAAGAAACACCATAAAGAGCTGCTGAAAGCAAACGAGTTTCTGTGTGTTTGCGGCTCATTTTACTGACACAGAAACTGGGGTTTTCCATTTAAATACCAGCTGCCACTTCAACAGGTGACATGTTGCACTGCACACTTCTGTGGAAGAACTATAATTCTGCAAGCAGGTTGACAAATCTAAGTAGAGTTTATAGTTTAATTGTTATAATTATCAATCTGCAATTTTCCATAATCTCACACATCTAAAAGTAAACTAGAATGACTTTTTTTTTTTTCAGAAATCGTATTGGGCACAGCTGCAATTTGTTACAAACTGAAATCTTGTGAGGAAAAAAGGTCCAGTAAAAATAAACAGTTTTGTGTTTTCATGTGTGTAAAGAGAGAGAGAGAAAGCTCTTAAGTAGTTATATTTGGCTTATACAGGGGACGTATCACAATATGTCTAAAAGGTGAAAGTTCTGTWTCTTGGCACTATATTTGGAGAAAATACTAAAAAATATTTTGTAGTAAACATTTTAACTTTTAAGTTTTCATATCAGCTAGGAATCAAAAACCCTATTTAGCATGACATCTTTTTAGTTCTTAGCGAGAAATTGTTATTGGCTGGAATCAGAGTACAAACATCAGACAAGAAATCTGTGACTGGTGCCTCTCTAACTTAAATCATGTCTTCATCAAAGCTGAATGAAGGGTTTCTAAACTTCAGTATGAGATGAAAGCAAGATTGTATCCAGTCTTCACCATCCACCTCATTAAATAAGCCCCTAAAACACATCCCACCTTCAGATCTCACACTGTCAGCAGCCCCTCTGTGTGCCACACTCAGTCTACTGTACAGGCTTCTTTCTGACTCTACTGGGTAGAATTGTATAATGGGCATTCAGATGACTATATATTTTTCTATGTATTTCTAAAAGCAACATAAATATAAAAAAATATATATTTAGTGCTTCTTGGTGAAGGTATGTTTAACTCTATTTGATGTCATTTATCTCTCTTTCAGTAAAACTAGTGTAGAGTGTTGTGTCACCGAAGAGTTTCTTTCTAAAGCAGGATATCCACCAACAAAAGCACAACAAAAAAAATTGATTATACAAGAATCTGTTGTTGATTAAATGATGGCTCTTTGTGATTTGAAGCTAATAAAAGATCCTAATTGGGGAAGTGGATATAAAAGTTTGGAAAGAAACTCTTTAATTACTTATCTCTGATGTGTTTGGACTTTGCACAAATGAGCTTCATTCCACCTAGTAACTAATGACAGTTTTTATCCCAAAATAACTCTTCTGTGTGTGCGTGTGTGTGTGTGTGTGTGTGTGTGTGTGTGTG